TTTGTACCCCAAAATTTTCCCTCTCATGTTTCCCAAGGTTTCTTTTACATGGTTGGTTACAAACGCTTACCTAAAGAAAAATGAAATTTTTGAATGATAGCAAAGGGTCTTTCGAATGGCATGCCAACAATGCCTTTCAATTGACATCTGAATAATGTCCTCCGATTGACACATCAGAGCAGTGTCCTTCGATTGGCACATCAGAGCAGTGTCCTTAAATTGGCATAATGGCAAGCTTCGACTGGACTCCTAAAACCCTTCAACCAAGCATTGGCCCATCAGCTTCAATTGCGCGTTGGTTCCCCTTCGAGCAAGCCTTAGTCCAAGTTTAATTCAGGCAAGAATCCTCTGCAAGCTTCCTTCAATCCACCAGCAATGACCTCCTGCATGCTTACTTTGACTCACAAAACAGTGGGTTCCTGCATGCCAGCTTCGTTCAAGGCAAAGGCCCCTTTCGACTTGCCTTTAATTCACAAGGAAAAAGGGTTTCCTCTTCATGTCTGCTTTCGTTTCACAAGCACAAGATTGCCACATTATGAACACATAAATGTTGCCTTCGAAGGACATACATTTGGTCTGCTTGAAAGACACACATTTGTTGAAAACAAACTTGTTTTGCCTTTTGATGAGGCTTGGTTCAAGCTGCTTGCTGGGCAAGAGATTATATGCTGCCCAACCCAAGTCTCATACATTCATGACAAAGGAGTCTTCGATTGGCCATAATGAAGTCTTCATTTGGGTTATTTGAATCAAGCAGCTAAGGCAAATAGAGGGGCTCAATCGAAGAAGCCCCAATGATGAGAATTAGAGTCATTCGAAGGAGACAAATCTAGGCCAATTGAAGAGCAAGGATAAGGTGTACTTAGAAGACATGTTAACAAGGTGTCCTTCGATTGGCGTATCAGAGCAAGATATCTTTAGATGAGCATATCAACAAGATCAAGCAATCAATGTAGAAGCCGACTGATCAAAGAATCCAGGATGTTGAGGCTTTATACAATTCGAATCAAGACCTGGGCAATTCGAATTGAGGTGGACAGACTCAATCGAATGAACTATAAGGGTGAAACCAAAGTCAATCAAAGGAGGCAACTTGAAGCCAATCGAAGGGCAGAGACTGAAGACATTCGAAAGTCAAATGTCCAGGTTCATTCAAATTCAAAAAGGGACAAGAAACCATGTCTTTTGCAACATTTCAAAATGGTATTCATGGATTTAAAACACCAACTTAATGGCTGTTTATCCCTTTTCCTTCTTATCCCCTCCATCCCCTCTATATAAAGAGACCACACATGTTGCATCATACACATACAGATTTCCTATCAAAAAGAACACTCACACCGCCACAGAAAACATATCAAAATTCTAACCAGTTTTGTAGGCACCCTCAACCCAAACGAAGACCATACTTGTGTTCCTGAGACTCCCAAGAGTTAGCTTCAAGCCAAGCCACACCCAGATTCATAGATCGAAGAATTTCCAGTTAGTAAGGATTCATCCAAGTCGAAATTGTATTTCTAGGCCCTTTAAATACATGTTGTTGGTATATCTGTGTTGCTAATGTCATTGGTGTTTATATGAACATATCACACGCAAGGTAACATGCAGGAATAAAATCATGCCATCGAAAGGCATGATCTAGGTTTGTCTTTCAAAACTCATGGTATAACCAGTTTCAATCCAAAATAAACTTAGGTCTGAGGACAAAAGATTTGAATTAAGGAGAAAGACTTGGGTTCGATACCCAGGTCATGCTTCTTTATTTATGCCAACATTTGTCTTACAGATCCAGATCGAAAGACAACTCCCTCCTTGGATCGAAAAATCATACCCCTCCCTGGATCAAAGAACCACATTGCTCCCTGGATCCAAGAACGGACTTGGGCTCTCTTCAATATTGGGCCTAGCAAAAATTCAATCTCACACCCCCTATTTTCTTTTGTTATCAGGCCCATTTTTGTATTCCTTTTATTTGTTTTAGTTTTTCTCTATTAATTATTTAATTAACTAAATAGTCAGAAAAATCACAAAATATTAAGTTAGTACTTTTTTTTAATTAAACTAATTTTATAAATAAATTAAAATTTTAACTGTTTTCTTTAATTTGAAATGAGTTAGAATTTAGGATTTAATTTATGTTTTAATCATTTTCTTTTCATAATAAAAATCAAAAAGAGCTTAGACTATTTTTCTTTATTTTATTTTATAAATAGATTTTAGAATTAATTAATTATTTTCTTAAATAAAAAAAAAGAACAATAAAAAGATTTTCTTATTTCATTTTCACTTACTAGGTTTTTGGACGTACTTTTAACTTTCGCGCGTTATTTTTTTTTCTTCGTATTTTTATATTATTGTATCTGCATTCTGGAATGTAATAATTAATAGGATTTTACCTTCTTTCTTTATTTTTTCTTCCCCTAATTTTTGTACATTGTAAATCCCTTCCCCGAAGCCATGTAATAGTATAGGTTTATACTTCCACACTTTATATTTTATACATATTAACTGCTAGTAACTAGGATTGCATGATAAGACTAATAACAAAATGTTAGCAAACCTAACACAAAAGATAAAAAATAACTGAATATAACACACATTGCATATATACACCTCTAGGGTACCCCACTTTGGTTGCCTTCGGAAATAAAGCAGTCATGTCCCTCGAAACGGGGATGCTTTAGCAAAGACCCGTAAAACAAAAAGATCATACTCCCTCGATGGCCCTATAGTTGCCTCTCGGTAAATGATCTAGTCCCTAAACAAAATTGCTAAAGCGTCTCCACAAGTTGCCTTCGTGACTGTAACGTCCCTTCGAATGTCTCTTATACATCCAACGACAATACTATCTACTCACTAATAGTAGGATAGTATTGTCTAAAGGAAAAGAGAAAAAGAATGACCTTTTTCGAGTACAAAAGTAGATAGCTGTTAGAAGTTTGCTCAAAACATTTTGCACTTACACAAATGCTACTTTTCAAAAAAAAAATCCAAAACACTTTGTATACTTTCTCCACTATCCCGAGAAATATTACAAAGTTCTCCATACTAAGGCATTTTCAAAACATCTTTAAACACACAAAACACAAAGGTATTTCAAAATGAGCAAACCTCTAAGAGCACTTAGATAACTACGGATGGAAAGGGTGCTAACACCTTCCCTTTCCATAATCTACCCCCCTTACTCAGAATAATCTCGAAAAAGGTCTTTTTCTGTTCTTTTCACTCTTTCCTTAATTTGGATAAAAGAAAAGTCGGTGGCGACTCTTGATTACCGTAACATTTGCAAACACAAACGTAAAAAATCAGTATTAAACAGTCGGTTCTGCCACCGTATCACACCATTCTTGAATATGGTGACCCCTTTTCACTCCAGTGTCATTCCTGGGTGTATTTCTCACTCACGTTCAATGTCATTCTTGGATGTAGTGATTTCTCTTTTCATCTAAAGCCAATATTGGATGGCATGATCTTTTACTTTTATCCAAAGCCAATATTGAATGTCATGATCTTTCGTTTGCCATCCAAAGCCAATATTAGATGTCACGATCTTTTGTTTTCCATCCAAAGCCAATATTAGATGCTTTTGATATATTTTTTAGAGTTCTTTCTCTCACCTCATCCAATACCATTCTTGGATATCGTGATTCATTTCATCCAATGTTTTTCTGGATGTCTTTGTCGTGTTTCCGGATTGTAGATTCTTTTTGCATTCAATACTTTTTTGAATGTCTTTGATCCTTCCATCCAATGCTTCTCGCCCATCCAATGCTTTTTTGGATGTGTCTGAGTTGTGTTCAAAAGTTCATTAAACGCTTTTCTCATGTCTTTGAGGTTTATTTTCCAGATATCATTCAATGTTTTTCTGAATGTCTTTGAGGTTTGTTTTCCAGAGATCATTCAATGCTTTTGTGAATGTCTTTGATTGTGTTCCAGAGTTCATTGAATGCTCTTCTAAGTATCTCTGATGATTATTTTTGTTGTGTTCCAAAGTTCATTCAATACTTTCCTGAATGTCTTTGATGATTGCCTTATATTTTTCCAGAGCTTATTCAAGACTTTTCTGAGTATCTATGAGGTTCGGTTTTGTTGTTTTCCAGAGTTTATTCAAAGTTTTTCTGAATACCTCAGATGATCGTTTTCTTTTCCCCAGTGAAGTTGCTATTACTTTTCCGGACGTTCCTGATACATTCCTCAATGTTGTCTCCGATGTATCTTCTGATTTGGTCTTTTCCACATCTAATACTTTTTTAGATATTCTTTTATATATTTTTCAGAGTATGTTTACCTTTTGCATTTGATGCTCTTCCAGACGTCTCTCATTTTTTTAGGGTTTTGCCGTCTCTTTCCAAGTATTACTAGATACTCCTTGTCATCTTGACAGGTCTCCATAATATCTTGAGATCCCCAAGTGTCTTTCCACGTCACCTCATTCAATCTACCATAAATCTCTTGTTTCAAGTTCCCTCATGAGTATCTTATCCTATACATTTATATCATATTATTTTGTGGCACCTTAAGACTAAAAATCAAATTTTCTATATTTAAATATCTTCAATAATGTCAAGACAAATATTTCAACCTTCATACCTCCGTATAAGAAAAAACTCAAATACACTCCACAAATACTATCTCAACTATATAAATAGTCATAGTTAAAGAACATTAAAGTTTTCCAATGTGAAAACTCCATACTTCTAATCAACACTTATATTTAAATGTTACAACAGTTGATACTTCAAAAAGCCTTTAACCATAACCAACACAATCCATTCATTTTTATATATACACCATAAGATATACACAATAAAGAAAAAGGAAATATAAAACAGAAAAATGTGACATAAAAGAATATTACATAAATCACCAAAGTTGAAGCTCTGTTTTACATACATGCCTATACCTATAACACCATTCAACAACTTTATGTTTCATGGTAGCGGTGAAGTGTAAACTAAACTATAATATTCATCTAATCTAATCTGTTAGTGCCACAATGATCATTTGGTTCTCACTTCTTGAAGAATCTTTGGATACCTCTGATACCCAATTGTACAAGCTGAAATCTGCAAAATATCAAAAGTATAACACGGTTAATTTCTTTTAATATTTTTGGATAAACATATAAATGTGGCATGAATAGCACATGGGAATAATTTGTTGATATCTTATAATGTTATTAAAGTGGAGAAGCCTATCGTTAATTATTGCTAGTGAGCAGCCTCCAACTTGCAAGTTGCAAGGTCCCAATTCCACATTAACAATTGAACACCATATCTTCACATGTGACATAAGATCAATGTGCCTAGATATTTGTAAATTATTATTGTCTAGTCAAACTTTGGTCATCATTTAAGAAAAGGTAGTTCCCATTTGATTTGCATAGATTCTTTGAACATAATCCAAACAAAAAAATGTTTTGATCAAAATTGAAAATTTGGATTAAAATATTGGAGGATTGACTATTTGGTAAAAATTTCAATGGAAAATTATACTTTTAGACTAATCCAAACTTCAACCACCTCAAATTAGTTGTGTTGAAAAGTCAACAAACTAATATATGTTGCCAAAGCTGAAAAAAAATTAAATAGGCAATTTGAATCTTGGTTTCAAACATTCAAGAGGAATTGTCATCAAAGTATTGTCAATAGTTTCTAGAAAAAAGAGAAAATTCAAACCCTATATTGTCCTAATACCAATATTAGTGTGTAAGGTGTTTAATGAAGTTTCCTTGATTTTTCAATGGTACTTAGAATAGGTGGGACCTTGTTACCTCACTAAATTCCCATTAGTTCCCATCAAGAAAGCCCTCATATTCTTATAATCTTTCTTAACTAAAATTAAATTATGTTTCTTTGTTAAACCTATCAACCGTATAAAGACATCTGATTATAAACTTGTGAGTTCGAATTTACGATAACTAACTTATTTATGAGAGCATGAATTTGAGTTCGAATTAAGACAATCTATTTATTCATAAAAAAATTTCAACACCAAAAAAGTTAAATTTTTATAATACAAAAATTTAATTAAGTTCCAATTATATTCTCAAAAATGATTAGTCTTTATGAAAAGGATGAAGGAAAGTGGTAGGTAAATGGATGGAAGAAAGACTTACTGCTTCAATGTCAATCTTGTAAACCAAAAGCTTTCTTCTCTCTCTGCAACTTGTCCTATAAGCCACAACAACATGTCCCACAGCCAACACACAAGAACACAAAAACAAAGCAATTTCTGATCCTCCAACATAGCCACCACTTCCATGTCCAAAAACATAAACAGCCTTAAAGGAAACAAATAACAGAGACAAAACAGAGCACAACGTAGTAATCCCCAAATACGGTCCTCGCGATCTCGAAAGCCTTGGTCCATCACATAAACTATAAACACCTGTAAAAAAAGAAGTAAAAACCCATTTCAAATCAGAATCAGAATCCAAAAGGGTGATTGAAAATCAATGAAAAAATCGAACTTTTGATACTTACAGAAGATTATAAAGGATCTGATTATTGAGAGGAGAGGAATATCAATAAGAGAGTAACGAAAATCGTAGTTGTTGAAATGAGAAGAGAGTGTTGTTAACGAAAGAGGTGAAGCTGAAAGTGTAGAGAGAAGAGCTGAAGGAAGAAGAGCATCGGCTATGACTAATAAAACAGGAGCAGAGAAAAGAAGAAGAGAAAGAATCATAGTGATTAAGAAAAACAGAGTTTTTACGACTCTTAGTATTCTCTTGGATTTCTCTTCTTTAGATGAAAAACCCATTTCAGCAGCACCTTTGAATAATACAAAATTGGTTCCAATTCTCATGTTATAGAGAAATAAAGAAAGAAGAGGAAACAGCTATATGAATTGTTGTTGAGAGGTTGGTTACAAGAGAGATTAAGAGAGGGAGAAGAAAAAGAGAAAGAGGAAGGTGCAGGCCAAAGTGGAACAAGAAAACTAGAATTGTCGACTGTTTTGGAGTGATGACAAATGGTTGGGACTTTACACGCAGAGAATGAGAATGGGATCGGTCATATAGAGGTTGCCACTAATTTTATACTTTGTCTTTATAATCTAACGGCAATACCTAAAAGCTTAGAAGACAATTAACTAATAGTATAAGCTTTTTTTTTAATTGAGAAAAGTTTATTTGGTGAAGATTATTCTTTGTGAAGCTAATTACATCATTTTGACTTCTAGATGTTTTACACGTATTATATGACTTGTTTAATTAATGCTTTTTGGGGTTTATACACGTTATTTTTGTATAAAAAATTAAAAGGCTGATCTCAAATATGGCAAATGACTCTTTGGCAATAAATTATAAGCATTAGGAATAATTCTAGATATATATTTTTTTTAGCGTAGAAAACACTAGATATTATTAATTAACATGTGTAAGAAATAATATATCTTTTTTTTTTCATTTTCTCTTTTTTATATTATATTATATTTTTATTAATTTTATATCAATATAAGTATAATGATCCTATTAGAAGAGACGTCAGAGTTATCTTAAAATGGATGTGTTAGAACGCCGTCCAAACAAGAGATTATTTGATTGTTCTATTTATCGAAATAAATGTCTGCTTTTCGATTATGATGTTCATTTTTTTTATGACTTGCCTGATTCGTAATAACGTAAGGAGTGACGTGTCTCAGTTTACAATGGTGCGAAAGAAAAGTCAAGAGGGAAAAGTCACATTCTCTTGAAATATAGGGAATGGACCGTCCATTTTCCACCTTCGAAAGACAGGTTATTAGTCTCTTTAAGCTTAAGCTCCAAGCCCACAAGACTTTTACAAATACCCCCCAACCTTAAGTTTGATGGAAGACCAATTCATTATGCAAAAAACACCATATGCAAAGCTTCTAATGTCATTATGTGTGTTTGTTCTAACACCACAAATAACCTTATAGTCCTACAACTCAAGGAGTTGTCACGTATGGTACTTTCAACAAGTATAATTGACGCTCATTGTGGGGTCTCGGTAAAATTGACATGGGTCGCACTCATCATTATCCATCATTTGTTTTCGCCACCTTCCTCTAGGGGATGCTTGAACAAAGTTTTAAGATCGTTATCAACACCATTGTCGGGGGTTTCACTGGTGGGAGAGAGTCAACTTCTTCTGAAGGAAGTATGGCAGACATGTTTTGATGGCAAACACCATACCCACTAACATTAACTGAAACCCTGGGGAAAGAACCAGGATCTAAAATCACCCTTTCCAATAAAGACATCATTGGCATTCTCCTTCATAATAATGATTCCATGGTCACGATGTAATATGATGATTAGGATATAAAGCAAGTATCAATTGACTCTAGAAGATCAGCGGATGTCTTTTCTAGAGTGTTTTCCAAGGGCTCCAGCTTGATCTCGACAACTTCAGAGCGTTCAAAGGTTTCCTGATTGGTATTTCAGGCGAGCAAGTACAAGTGAAGGGACGTGTAACGCTTGAAATAACATTTGGCTCAGAGGCAAGCGCAAAAACAATTAAAGTGAATTATCTTGTGGTGGACACCTTATCTTTATACAACGCCATTCTGAAAAGGCCCGCCCCTAACTTGCTAGGGGCGGTCATGTCCACCCTTCATTTGAGCCTAAAATATTTGTTACTCAAGGGGCGTGTTGGATTAATTTAGGGGAACCAGGAGGTATCCTGAGAACTCTATTATAATAAATTAGATATGAGGAGGGAACACATTGCCATAGGTGTCGCCCCTCATTCAGAATCACGAGAGGTATATGTCACAAGTTCGGACCCTAGATTAGGGATTGAAAATGAAAGTTTCATGCCCACAGAGGACCTGAAAGAAGTCTAGTTTGGGCCCTGGATCATCAAGTCACCAAGTTGGGCACCTTCTTATTTGATTCTCTGGAGGAAGGGTTGATTGCCCTACTAAGAAAAAACATAGATTTATTCGACTGGGTGCTCTCTAATATGTCAAAAATAAATACAAGAGTGGTTTGCCACCTCCTCATCACTGGTCATACATTAAAGTTAGCGTCTTTGAGGAAACATAAGGTAGGTGACGTGAAGAGAAAACCATTAATGAAGAAGTTCATAAGTTGAGAGGATCTAGCTTTATCACTGAGGTAAAATATCCATCTTGGATGGCTAACATAGTTCTGGTTAGGAAGTCATCCAACAAATGGGACATGTGAGTTGACTTCACTGACCTTAACAACGTGTATCCCAAAGAAACATATTCCTTTCGCAACATAGATCGTCTGATTGATAGATCCTCAAGTTATAAAACATTAAGTTTCATGGACGCCTATTATGGCTACAATCAGATCAAAATGGATCTTGTTGATGCGCCCAAGATGCCACTCACTTCTAATCACAACAACTATTACTATAACATCATGACCTTTAGGCTAAAGAACAAATGATCCACCTATCAAAGGCTCATGAATATGGAATTCTCGAAATAGATACAATGCAACCTAAAAGTCTATATTGATGATAATATAATAAATATATCATAAGGGAAAAGGCACACAAAGGACTTGGAATATAACCTTTAATATTAGTCTAAGGTCCACTAAACAAAATTTATTAGGTTTGTTTTTTTCTATTTAAGTAGTATTATATACGCTTTTTAATTATAACTTTTAAATATATTAAAATCTTATTTTGCAACATTGTATCATAGAGCTCTCAATTGTTGGCACTCGCTTCCACATAAACTTTAGTCGCCTCTATCGGTAACTTATTTTTACAACCTTTTATTGTAGAATGTTGTTACATGTTTCCAATAATCTTTTCCGGATCATCAATATTTGGCATTCTTTGTTTCGCTTCTAGTCGTTGTTTAACCTTAATCACCATTCATTCTCATTTGATCTACTTAGAGACCATTTTTATCACAAACGACCAATACCATATGACCGCCAACCACAGATCAACCGGTCCAAAATTAACATCACTACATGACATCACATGCGCCCTCATGTGTCAATTTAGTCATATTTATTTTCGATAATCCAACTGTCAGTTTTCTCGTTTGGCCCTACATATTCCATTTGTGTGGTAAAAATGAATTCCAACACACTTCATTTTTGAGTTTTTTAATAGAGTTAATTTTTACTTGGTTTTTCCTTCACTGCTTGTTTTATCGCCATTGGAAGAAGTTATAAATTATGGTACACCTTTAGCAACACTGGTAAGAGTTTGCACTTTCGACCATTTACTATTTATAGTAATATTCCTAAGAATGCTTGGACTCTTGACTTTGGTACTACTAATCATATCACATTTGATTGCACGTTACTATCCTTTTTATATTCCCCCTTTGATTATTCCTTATATAACTATTCCCGAGGGCTCTCATGCTCGTGTTATCGACACTAGAAATATCAGCTTATAAAATTCATTCAAGTTACATGTTGTACTTCATGTTCCTACATTTTCCAACATTTTAATTTCCACCCACAAGCTTACCCATGATTAAGATAGTGAAGTAATATTTTTTTAATTCCCATTGTATTTTTTAGGACTCTGCCACAAGGGAGATGATTGTTTTTTCTAAAGAAAAGGAAGGAATATACTAATTCTCTAAGGAGGTGGATGGTCCAAAGATATAGTCTTCATGTCTCCAGTTTGAGTATTTCTCTCATGCCTCACAAATTTGGCTTCAAAACAAGCATTTTGTAAATCCTCCATTTTATATAATTAAGTCTATGATTTGTCTTGTTTATTGATTATTATACTCGAGTAACTTAGATTTTCTTGATGAATACCATATCATAAGTACCATAATTACTTATCCAATTTTATAATATGGTATAAACATAATTTTGAAAAGGTATAAAAAGAATTCAATCTGACAATATTAAAGAGTATGTCAATTATACATTTTCAAACTTCACTAGTAAACATGGCATTATCCATGAATTCACATGTGTCGATTGTTGTTGCGGTAAAGCAGCAAGCAAAAGTAAGTATTTTATTTTATCGTCTCCACATGGATTAGTGTGATATCAATGTCGTTTAACAGTTAATATATTTTTAAGCTTAAGTTTGCAAGGGTTTGAAAGTTTAAATTACGGAAAGTAAAATGGGAGAATGATAAATAAAGTGTTAGCGAGATATGAGAACTTGTCAAGATTGGATTCCTCCACCGCATAAATATGCAATTTACCAATAAGTTGTATACAATCTAAGCATTTATCATTACCATCACATTGTTGTACCCCGAATTTTCCCCTCATAATTTAGATTTTATCTGGCTTAGGCTTTCGCATTCATTTCCACCTTTGTTAGGTTATTAGCATAACATTTAAATCAATAAAGCACATGGGCTCAAAAGAGCAGTAATCATGCCATCCAGGATTTTCTTTTGGTTTGAGGTTTACATATCCAATAAAGCCCGATTCTTCTAGTTTTTCTTCAAGCAGTGAAGTATGAATTAAGGTTTCACCATCACTTCAAATCGAGATATACTTTAGGTTATATGATTAGGGTTCATTATTCGTTGTGCTGGAGCTTGGGGATTGTTCTTTAAAAAAAGTTTAGTGGGCTAAGGTTTTACTTCACAGTCATCCTGAATACCCTCTTTCCATACTTATCTTCAGAGAATCCCTAAGAGCATTCATTTTGTTTTAAGATTAAGATATCGTATGGTTTGAATTGTGAGATATAAGCAATTGCATATGAGGTTATCAAAGATTATAAGCATGCAAGATTGAGGAATTTGTTCATGAAGATTTCTTGTCATCTAAGTCAAATATTCAAGGCATGTACCATCACTATGACCTTTATTCACTC